TTTGAAGCCCTCTTATATATAAATATTGTTTTTATATTTTAATATAATCATAACATCAATACATTAACACTGGTTAGATCTGATTAATAGGTATGTCTATTAATTTCTGTGATTTGATATTTAACATTTTTATAATAAAAGTTTTACTTTGCTTGATAGAAAAGAATCATATTTGATGCTTGTTAAAAATGTGAGTCAAGGGACCAGCAGTTAGCGTAATGGCTATGTCACTGGACTCCCATGTAATTGACCGCAGTTCGTGTCCCGGACCTGGTGGCTTAAAACTCACGCCGGGCGCGTGTGCGTGCGTGGCGATTGCGGCATGGCCACCCTCCCTCCACCCCCAGGTGACTTCTCGCTTTCTGTCTGTCTGTCTCTGTCCGGCGAGCGCACATGCCCTTCTCTCTGTCTGTCTGGCGAGCACATGCACCTAGCAAAAAAATCTCTAAAAAAAAAAAAAAAAAAAAAAGTGAGTCAAGCCCAGTTCCCATGGTGCATTTGCAAGAGAGAGAGAAGTACACGAATTGCCTACAAGACTGGAAGCCATGCTGGGCTAACTTGAAAACATGCCCGTCTTGGCCATCCAGGATCTTGAGGAGTTGGAGAGCTGGGAAAAGGGGATTGTGGTGTGATTAGTTTTTGTCAAGGGTACTTTTCTCTCTCTTATATATGCTATGTTAAAAAAGAATTTTTTAAATGTAATTTTGCCCCATGATCCAAGGTTCTGTCTCTGGGCTAAGAAAAAAAAAGGTTGTAATTTATAATAGAATCTTTTCTCTTTCCTATTGCTTAAATTATCAGAAACACTACTGGAAGAGAAATTACCCATTTTGAAACTGCTTGTTAACTATAAGGCCCTTTGCATCTGTTTGTCTTTTTGCCATTAGTCTTGTCCCCTGGAGTTCCCTTCCTGTTTGGACTTGAAATAACTAGAAAGTGAATTACATCGAATATGATAAATGAAAAGTAGAATTTCACATTTTCAGTTACCCTTTGCTTTCACTTTTTCCTTGTTAATTTTCTACAATAACATTGAGGTCAACATTTGAATATCTACAAGTTCTTAAATTATAGTATGAGAACAAAGAAAGGAGTAATTTGCAAATGACATAGGCTTTTTTCTCAAGTATTTACTATCCATTGATAAAATGAACTGCTGAAATATACAAAGTACATAGACATTAATTTACTAATTAGGCTAAACCTTGAAGCACAAGAATGGAAACAGTTCTCACCTGGTCCTTTCTAGTTGGCAAGGTGGCACTTTCTTTTCGCGTGAGGTGTGTAGCATTTTAAGGAACTGCTATTAGGATTAATCACTTAGAATTACTGTGATGGTGTCCTTAATCCCTTGTGTGGTCACTGATATGGAAGAGTCCCGGGTGGAATTAAAGCAGGGTTCTAGCACACACCCCCTGTATTTTCTTGTGAAAGGCGATGACATGTTTCCCTGTCTCCACTTCTCCTTGTCTTAGGGGAACAGCACAGCACTGAGAGCCGCCAAGCCAGTGTCTCTCATCACCACCACTGAGGCTTCTGAGAGCCGTTGCATAGCAGCAGTTTTATTTCAGTTACCAGTCGTGCCCACATAGCCTAGTTCAGTCTTTGGGGGTTACTTCAATTTGCAAGTGGTGGACAACTTTTGTTATCATTATCTTAACGTTTTCCAAGCTCCAGAGAAAGACACCATTTGGCTTTTTCTTTCACTGACAGTTGCTAATGTTAAGCCTTATTTTGAAAGAAAATAGTGAGTACCAGCTAATTAAAATAAGTCATTTTAGTAGTAACAATTGCCATGACAATATAGCTTATTATTTTTTTAATGATGAGCCTTTTACTGTTTTTAAGAATCATTGATGGTATCTATCAACAGCATTTCAAAAGATTTGGATAAGGTAGGATTTGCTTTGAGTGTTTTATTAGTATGTTTTCAGATTAGATTGGTGTCCTGGAAGGATGAAATCAGTTTATTTTTAGACTTTCTTTGTTTTCACTTGTGCTGTTCGATTTTTTGAGTACACTTTTGGGAGCATCATGTATACTCTCTGCATGTATGTCAGACATGCTGATTATAATTTTATGTGAAAGAGAATTTTCCTCTTAAAGTTCATCTACTTTTAAATTTTATATATGGGAGGTTTTGTTTTTTTTTTTCTATACTTTGTGACCACAGAATCCACTACTTACAAAAACAGTTTCAAAAACCAGGCACAGAAGCATGTGCATATTATCCTAGTGACTAGGGAAGCTGAGACAGAGAGATTGTGATATAGCAAGACCCTGTCTTGAAAAAAAAAAGGAAAAAGAAAAAATGTTTAAATAGGGTTTCAGTTTTACTTTGATGATATTAACAGGAACTGTAAGGGGCAACTTTTATAAGTTAAATGTCACACTCATAATTTGTTTGCCTTTTCCGCCATATTTTGAAGTTACATCACATTCCTGACTCTTTGGGTTATATAATTTCATAATATGCATTGAAATTAATTATAGTACATTTAGGAGAAAGAAGTTACATTATAGTGCTTAGAGTATTTGAAGAAGAATTAGAATGTGGAAAGTTAGTATATATAGCACAGTGATTCAAAGCGGATTCCAGAGTCAAGCTGCTTGGTCTCAAAGTTCTACTCTGTCATTTCGTAGCTGTGTGACCTTGGGAAAGCCGGTCACCCTCTCCATGTCTTCGCTATTGAGATATGACTTACTGTTGATGAAGAAAAACAGACTGTTCATATATTGCACATTCTTGCTCAAAACATTATTATATCATATGCATTTCTATTTTCAAAACTAAAAAATACTGCTCTCAAAAAAGGAAATGCAGGCATCAGCAGTTAGCGTAATGGCTATGTCACTGGACTCCCCTGTAGTCAACCGCGGTTCACGTCCTAGACCCGGTGGCTTAAAACTCACGTCGGGCATGTGTGCATGCGTGCCCAAGATCCCAAGAGGAGAATGGAGGAGAAGGGATTGCAGCGTGGCCATCCCCCCTGGGGGGTGATTTCTTGCTTTCTGTCTCTCTCTGTCTGGTGAGTGTATGCGTCCTATAGCAAAAACCTCTCCAAAAAAAAAAAAGGAAACGCATAATTATTTGATGCTTTAAATTGTCTTGTCTCTTGTTGATTTCCTTCAGCATGACTTCCTCTGAGTTAGAGTAAAAGGTGAGGTCCTTACAGTGGTCTGCAGCATCCACACGCTCACCCACACTCCAGGACCACCCCCCACCCTGCTGCTTCTTGCCTTCACTTCTCACTACCCTCCTGCTGTTTTAGCCACTCTAGTTACAGTGACACCCTGGCTCCTCCTTGAACATAATGGGCATGCTTCCGCCTTGAAGCCAGTGCACAGTTATTCTTGTCTCCTGGAATGCTTTTCTCTCTGGTATCTGCAGGTTGACAAACCTTCTTTAAGTCTTCACTCAAATGCAGCCCCTCTCTATAAGGCCTGCCTTTACTGCTTAATATCACCAACCCCCTTTACATGGCTCTGTTTTTCTATAGCACCTGTACTTTATTTATTATATTTTTTGTTTATTGCCTTTCTCCTTCTTTTAGTATGTAAGCTTATTGAAGGCAAAGATTTTTGTTCACTAATGTATCTCAAATATCTCAAGTATTTAACAAATAATGTTCAATAAATACATGGATTAATGAAGCTTTAAAAAATATTAGTGGTATGCTGGGTCTTAACTATATCTATTCCCTGTGTGACCTAAACCAGGTTACTGGATTTCTACTTAGTGGAGTTGCTGCATGGATTAAATGCTCTTACTTTCTGGAAAGCACCTGGTGGTGCTGCTCCTCAGGAAGCCTCCATAAATTCACTCAGTCAGCAAAGGTTTACAAGCACCAAGTGTTGGTGGTAACTAAAGGAATGTAAGAGATTTGATGTGTTGATAGACCCAGTATTTATTTTTCTTTATAAAGGAAATGTTTATTATACACAGCTTACATGAGAGGATATTTGTTTCAAGGTGATTAGAGTTACTTTTTCATGTGTTAAAATATTTTTCTTTGAATCAACAACCTTTTCTCAAGACATTTTAATAAGCTTCTTTAAGATATCCTTTCATTGGGACCAGCAGTTGGCGTAATGGCTGTGTCGCTGGACCCCCACGTAGTCGACTACGGTTCGCGTCCCAGACCCGGTGGCTTAAAACTCACGCCGGGCACGTGTGCGTGCGTGCCCAAGATCCTGAGAGGAGAATGGAGGAGAAGGGATTGCATTGTGGCCATCCCCCCTGGGGGGTGATTTCTCACTTTCTGTCTCTGTCTCTGTCTGCCTGGCGAGCACATGCTCCCTATAGCAAAAACCTCTCCAAAAAAAAAAGATATCCTTTCATCTACTGACAGTAGAATTGTAAATTTCTTGAAAGCAGTGACCGTCATCATTTATTCTTGTATTTATTCTTTTATTTGACAAAATTTTATTGAGTGCTTCTTAGGTAGTTAAGGAAGCCAGATCCCACATGACTATGATTTAAGTCCTGACCCTGGAGGCTTGAAAAACATGCCAGATGCATGTGCATACATGCCCCGAAATCCTGACAGAGAGGAAGATAAAGGATTGTGGCATGACCATGCTTCATTGGAGGGTGCTTTCTCTTTATCACTGGCAAGTGTACATTCTCTGTGGGGAAAAAAATAGAAGCTGGATTCTATTTCAAGACTTCTTTCTAATTTGTTTCCTTTAATTTTGCCAGAGTACACATGCACTTGCCAGAGAGAGGGGGCAGGGTAAGTAATAAAGCATTGCCTATGGGAAATGTTCACATCGCGATCCCTTTTCCTTCATCTCTCCTTTTGGGATTTTGGATTCACATGCACACATGCCCTGGTTTCTCAGGACACCCAGTAGGCCATGTGGGATCCAGCCACCTCAACCCCTATGACACAGCTGGCCCTCATGTCTTTGTTATGAAAATATAAACATTTTTAGTGAAGAAGGGCAAGGCTTTCTTTTAGTTCTCTCTCCCTTCATCTTCTGCCTTTTTATTCTAGGGATTCTTCAGCAAGCGCCTCAAAGGCTCCATCAAGAGGACCAAAAGCCAGTCAAAGCTTGACAGAAACACGAGCTTTCGGCTTCCATCCCTTCGCAATACAGATGACAGGTAGGAATTAACTTATTTAAAACAGAGAAAGCAGTTTTAGAGTGGATTTTGATAAGGTGTTTAACTGGTCTTCTCTAACTTTGCATTAAGGACAATTAGAAAGATCCAATACAGAATTTTTGTTTTGTTTTGTTAATACTAAGGCGAGATATAAAATATCGTCTCATATACACAACCAGTTTACAAATCTTACAGCTTTTGAGAATTTGTTGGATACATAAGAACTAAATAATCTATTGCACTGTTTCTGTATAATCTATATCTAGTGGTCAAAGGGACTTATTTCCATTTCCCACCAACAGATTAAGATTATACCTCCGGGACCAGCAGTTAGCGTAATGGCTATGTCGCTGGACTCCCATGTAGTCGACTGTGCTTCGAGTCCTGGACCCAGTGACTTAAACTCACACCGGGTGCGTGTGCGTGCGTGCCCAAGATCCCAAGAGGAGAATGGAGGAGAAGGGATTGCGGCGTGGCTATCCCCCCTGGGGGGTGATTCCTCGCTTTCTGTCTCTCTGTCTCTCTCTGTCTGTCTGGTGAGCGCATGCGCCCTGTAGCAAAAACCTCTCCAAAAAAAAAAAAGATTATACCTCCAAATAGTTTAATAAACACTTTTGTAGTATTTACTTTGTGCCAGACATTATTCTGAGCACTTTATACAACTCATTTAATCATCACAACAATGTGATGAGGTAGTTCATTATTTCCATTTCAAAGTTGTAAAAACTGAAGCTCAGAGAAATTCATAAATTGCAGCTTAGAAAAAGACAGAGCTGAGGTTCAAATCTGGGAAGGTTGTCTCTACAGTCTAAATTCTTTACCTTTACTGTATATTGTCTCTTAAAAAATAAAAAATAAGGAAGAGAATATTTCTTTGTCTTATTTTGTATTTTTCTAATGTTCAGTAAATGGAACATCCTTTCATGTTTTCTTCTTCTGTGACTTACTTATTCATTTCTTTTGCCCATTTTTCCGTAGAGTTCTTTGTCCTTTTTCTTATGATTCAAATAGCATTTTTTATTACCAGGTTGCTAAAATTTTCTATTATTCACGTTGCTAAAATTTTCTTCCAATCTGTTTCTTGTGTTCTAAATTTGTGACTTCAAATAATATAGAAGTTTTAGATTTTCTCTGGTCTGATATTTCAGTCTTTTTCTTTTTGGCTTACCTATTCAAATTTGGCCAGAACACTAAATTCAAGAGGCCAGAGATCTGTTTCTCATTGTTGTCAATATGATGGTGTGCAGATCACTTTATCTCTCACTTCTTTAAGAGGAGAAAATATTCAGGGCCTGCAGGTGGCATGGTGGTTTAAAGGTGCTGGACTTCCAGATGGCTGACTGCGGTTTAAGTCCCAGACCTGGTGACTTGCTTTCTTATTTTCCCTCTCTCTCTGATTAAACTTTGAAAAATAATAATAATAAGTTAAATAAAAAAATTATTTTTTAAAAAAAAGAGAAAATACTCTCTCTAGAGGTATCTAGAAGATAATGAAATAGCATGATATTTTGAATTCAAGGTTTTTGATAACCATAAACCTTATCTGCACTCATAATGTTTTAAAAAGATAAAATTATTCTCTGGAGTTCTTAGCTACTTTAAGATGACAAATAAAATTTTTAAATGAATTACTATATATGATAAGCTATGCAAGATAGCACAGGCTATTTTAACATGCAGACTTGATTGACTGAAAAGACGCTAAGGGCTCCAGGTCTATCTCACCAGTGATCTGCAAATCAGAAACTTTGTTATAGACTTTGATGGAATTTATTGCAAGTGCTACTTTGGAGTCAACTATAATGATTCTGAAATTCAGTTTCCTTTGTGGAGCATAAGCATAAAAAGTAAAATTTTGCCAAATAATTAATTCTGACCTTTGAATGATGCAGGGATTATGGACACCAACTCCTGGTGCAGTTGAAAATCCACATCTAGGAAGTTTTATACCTCAGTACCATCTTGTTCCCCATAATACTGGAATGTGTTCTTGAGGAAGGAAGGAGGGATAAACATTGAAAAGTTAGCTAGAAGTCTCTGAATTATCTACTCACTCCCGGAACTCTGGAAAGGTTCATTTTCCAGCCAGTTTTTGAAGGCCAACAGGTAGGCTTAGGCTTATCACAAAGCAGATTGGAAACTGATCCACTCCTGATAAAAAGACAAGAAGATACTGACTTTTATGTTCTCCTAATAAAATCCTAGTTGCTAAATCCATTCCTAGATATATTTAAGAGAAATAAAAACACATGTTCACACAAAAATGTGTATATGAGTGTTCAGAACAAACTTCTCCATAATACCCCCAAAGTAATAATGATCCAATGTTCATCAGCTGATGAATGGATACACAAATGGTATGTTTATACAATGGAAAATTGGTCAACTATAAGAAGGAATAAAGTGCTGACTGGTACCTGCTACAAGGAATATGAATGTTTCAATCATGAAAACTTTATGCTGAATAAAAGAAGCCAGTCACAAAAGACTGCATATTACCTCCAGTCACATGAAATGTCAATGTTCAGAATAGGCAAGTCTACAGGAGGAGACTGGTGGTTGCCAGAGGCTGGCAATATGTGGTGGGAAAAGGTGATAAATGAAGGATGACTTCTGATGGGCATGGGGTTTCTTTTTGGAGTGATAAAAATGCTTACAAGTGTAGAAGGTGGTGATGATTGTGCAATTTTGTATTTACTGAGAACTATACACTTTAGATGGGTAGATGTTGTGGTATTTGAATTATTTCTCAATAAAGATGTTTCTTAAAGTAACAGCTGGCTAGGAAGCACTCTGTAATGAAGCTCATTAGTCTGTAAGCCCCATTCTAGCACACAAAGCTTCCATGGAGCTTTCTAGTGCTCTACTCTTAAATATAAACAGATAGCTGAGGATCTACAGGATCAACATGAAATATAGAGACCTAAACATTATGAAGGGCGTAAAGCCCAAAACTGAGACAATACATGGAGCAAAAAGACTTCACAGGTGAAATGTATATTTTCCAAAGATAAGGTTGTGTATCTTGTAAAATACTGACTTTTGTGTTCTCCTAATAAAATCCTAGTTGCTAAATCCATTCCTAGATATATCTAAGAGAAATAAAACAATAACAAGATGCTGTAAGAAAAGAAAATTCAATGAAGAAGAAAGATAAAAAAGTAAAAATATAAACGCTAAAGTCAAGTCACTCTTCTAGAAAATGGAGCAGAAAATAAAGGAATCAACCCAGAGGATTCTACAAAGAGAACAAAGAAGGACTATAGGAAGGAAATCATCAAAGAAGTAATACAAGAAATTTTCTCCAAACAAGAAAATACATATGCCCAGATTGGAAAGACGACCAAATTCCCAGCATAATAAATTTAAAAAGTCCCCTAACATATACACATCAAACTGAAGAACTTGGGTTTTAGTTTGTAAGAGATAGAGAGCCTTTAAAACAGTTTTGAGCAAGGAGATGACCTCATCAGAAATGTGTGATAGATGGACTGATCCAGCAATAGCATTTCAGATGACTTAGTGTTGAAATAAGTTAGTTTGAGAGAAAGCTATTGTAAGATATGATGAAGGCTCGGGACCAGCAGGTGGTGTGGTGGTTAAAGTGCTGGACACTCCCACATGGCCGACCATGGTTCAAGTCCCGAACCTGGTGGCTTGCTTTCTCGCTTTCTCTCTCTCTCTCTCTCTCTCTCTCTCTCTCTCTCTCTCTCTCCCTCTCTCCCTCTCTCCCTCTCTCCCTCTCTCCCTCTCCCTCTCCCTCTCTCTCTATGTCTCTCTCTAGTCAAATTAAAATAAATGAGTGAATAAATAAAATTGAATAAGTAATTCTTTCAAAAAAAAAAGATATATTGAAGGCTCAGTGGAGGATAGTGGCAGTGAGAATGGATAGGTAGGGACAAGATGGAAAAACCTCTTTTTGGAGAGGTTTTTGCTATAAGGCGCATGTGCTCGCCGGAAAGACAGAGGTAGAAAGCGAGAAATCACCCCCCAGAGGGTATGGCCACACTGCAATCCCTTCTCCTCCATTCTCTTCTCAGGATCTTGGGCACGCATGCCCACGTGCCCGGCATGAGTTTAAGCCACCGGGTCTGGGACTCCATAGTCCACGGTCAGCTACATGGGAGTTCAGCGACATAGCCATTATGCTAACTGCTGGTCCTATTTTCTTTTTTTTTTGGGGGGGGGGAGCATTTTAGAGATAAAATCAATAAGATGTCACAGATTTGTCAGTATTTCAAAGCCATCTAATCAGATAAAAGTCAGTAAAGTGATTTCCTAGAATAAATATTGGCAGCATTTTCACATTAAAGCCATGTGTCATGTAGAAGGGATTGGAACATGAAAAGATTTCTGATATTTCTGCCTTTCATTCATACACTCTTAAAACCAGGAAATGCTGAAAAATCGTGGCTATAGGCATTCTAGGATTCCAGATGTCCGTCAAGTTGACAACCTTGCTTTGGAAGTATTACTTAAATTTACCAAAGACTTGAGATAAAGATAAGCAAATGGAAGAGAATTTTCTCACCCTTTAAATGGCCCTCAAATAAAAACCTTCACAATGATTTCCACAGCTCTGAGGCTCACTAACAAAGCATGCTTTGTTAGTGTTTTGTTTCGGGTTTTTAGTATTTTTTTATTCGATACTTTGGATTTTCCTTTTATTTTTTAATCTTTTAATTTTTTAATTTTTCTTTTTATTATTATGTTTTACATTTAATCACTGTACATCTTTACAGCATACAAAATGAATTTTGTCACCTTGAGTACACTGCACATCAGTCCAGTCAAAGATATTATCCTACATATTGTTATCAGCCAACAATTTTCCATTTTTGTGTTCGTTAACTGTTTTGCTTTTTTCCCTGTTGATTCCCACCCACCTCCCATTGCCCAGTCTTCTCCTGCACTGTCTTTAGTTTGCTGCTATTATATTTTTTTATTTCAAGAAGAGCTGTTTTAGTTTAAATGAGTAAAAATTTTAAAAAGTTGAGAAA